GCTACTGGCATCGGGTATGTTTTGGATTTAGTTTGGGCAGTAATAGTGGTCAGCAGTTCCTACTGTGAGTGTCAGAGTGATGGAGTATATCATATGATTACATCTTGGGTTATGGTTGTGACTTGATACAGCTTGTTCAGATTTATACAGTGTGTCGATGTGGGATTCGGGTCTTGCAATGAATTCTGGATGTTAGAGATTGAGTTCTAAGGTTTAAGGACCAAGGTTGAAATAAGGATCTCTGATTATGCTATGTTGGCGGGCTTAGATGGATCGGGGTGATGTGGGATCACCCCCGGGTTTATGTTTAGTAAGGCTACACCGTGATTTGATAGCTTTGGGAACGGCTCCTAGCACGTTCGAGGACGAACGTGTGTTTAAGTGGTGGAGGATGTAACGATCCAACTGGTCGTTTTGGGTATCAACACTTCGCTCGGTATTTTGAGGGCTCGATTATCTCCGCATGATGTATTATGACTTGCGTAAATCGTCAGTATTGGTTTTCAAGTCATCCGAAATCGGATTGGGGGAATGAACTTCAAGATTTAAGTTCTAAGTTGGAAGAGTTGACCAAGTTTGACATTTTGGCAATTGACCTCGGAATGGAGTTTCATCAGTTCCGTTAGCTTCGTAGGGTGATTTCAAACTTAGGAGCGCGTCCGGATTGTAATTTGGAGGTTTGTAACGGAATTAGTCTTGAATTGGCGAAACTTGGATTTTTGTGAAGTTTGACCGGGAGTGGACTTTTTGATATCGGGGTTGGATTCCGATTCCGGAAGTTTGAATAGGTCCGTAATGTCAGATGTGACTTGTGTGCGAAATTTGAGGTCGATCGGAGGTGATTTGATAGGTTTCGTCATCGGTTGGGGAAGTTGAAGTTTCAAAGTTCATTGATTTCGGCTTGAGGTGTGATTCATCGTTTCGAGGTTGTCATGTGTGATTTGAAGCTTCGAGTAAGTATGTCTTGTCATATTGAACTTGTCTGCAAAGTTTGGCGCCATTCGGAGTTGATTTGATAGGGTTCGGATGCTCGGTTGTGATTCTAGAAGTTCTTGAAGTTTAGTTTGATTTTCATGAGTTTTGGCGTCCGATTCGTGGTTTTAGAGGTTATTTTGATGATTTGAGCGCGCGAGCGAGTTTGTATTTTGTTATTAGACTTGTGCGCATATTTGGTTTGGAGCCCCGAGGGCTCGGGTGAGTTTCGGATTGGTTTCGGAATGTTCTTGCATAGTGTTTAATTGCTGGTTCTGGTATTTTCGCATTTGCGAAGTTTGGGTCGCAAATGCGGCCATCGTATTTGCGAAGGAACCTCGCATTTGCGAAGCCTGGGCGACTAGGCAATTTTCGCATTTGCGATGAACCAGCCGCATTTGCGAAGGCTGGTCTTCGCATTTGCGAAGTATTTGTCACAAATGCGACCTCAGAAGGCAATCTTCAGGTTCGCAATTGCGATGCATTTTTCGCAATCGCAAATGCGACATCTGCAGCCTGTTAAGTGCTGAGAATTCCGAGTTTTTCTTCATTTTTCATATTTTTGAACCCTAGCTTCGGAGTGAGGCGATTTTGAGAGGGGATTTTTATTCCAAATCATTGGCTAAGTATCTTTAATCAATTTCCAACTATATTTAATGATTTTATACAAGATTTAACATCAAATCCATGGGAAAACTATGGAAAATTTTGGGGATTTTGTCAAAGTTTTGAAAAAATGAAAATTTGGGATTTGAGAGTCGAATAAGACTCGGATCTAAAAACAAAACACATATTTGGACTCATAGAGATATGGGTAGTCAAGGCCTACCTTTGGACCCGGGTTTTGACCGGGTGGGCCGAGGGTTTGACTTTTGTTGACTTTTTAGAAATTGAATAAAAATTATAGCTTTATTAATTGAAATTGTTTTCTCTTGCATTGTGTGGTGTATTCAAGTCGTCATTGGCTAGATTGAGTTGAGCGGAGGCGAATTCGTAGAGGAAAAGGCTAAGTTGACTGTTGAGTTAGCCGGATCGAGATAAGTGTGTTGCCTAGCTTTGTTGAGGAAATTTTTCCTCCTAATTGTCATTGTTTGGTACATGCGGGGGGTGATACATATATGAGGTGACGAGCGTATATGTATGTGCCAGGGTTAATCATGCTCGGGGGGTGGATTGTGTTATATTTGTATTTGTGGAAATTTTATGACATTTTGCTTAAATGCCTTGTTTGACTCTTACATATTAAGGGCATAATATTAAATGATGGATATCAAGACTTAGTTTGTTATAACTTGATTAAACATGACGGGAGTTGTAAGAATACATTGATGTGTCTAATTCTATTATCTCTATGCGAAATCATTACTACATTACTATAACTGATATTCTTGAGATGCTAGACTCTATACTTGTGTTCTCAATCAATTATGAGATTCGTGGAAAGATTTGAATAATACGATTCTTGAGGGTTGTAGAACCATTGTTGACTTGGAAAGTTGTGATTGGGAATTGTTTGAAATATCCATTAAAACACTCTCCTTGATGTCCGTTATGCTTCCTGCCTTGTTTGTTACGGTTATATATATGCTTTGTAAGGAAGAGTGTAAAGCACAAAGGGTGATGCCGTGCCATATTATTGAGAGTAAAAGCACGAAGGGTGATGCCGTGCCATATCATTTGAGAGTAAAAGCACGAAAGGTGATGCCGTGCCATTTCATTTATATTGTTATGCTTGTATGTTATGGTGAGGTCATGGCACGAAAGGTGTTTCCGTGCAGGTGAGGACGAGGGACATGCATTCTAATGTGATATTTGTTTTCCCGTGTATACGGTTGTACCCTTACTTTGAAATGTTATTGTTGTATTTACATATTTGGTGTGACTTGTTGTTATTGTCCTATACTTGACTTTATCTCAATTGTTGTTGCACTGTCCATTTCCTTTACTTGCTTAACTTGAAATTTCCATGTCTATTCCTGCTTTTATAATTATATTCATGTTGTATCTATTCTGTTGCACTTTAGTATAGGCCTTCCACCATGCTAGCCATTCATGCCTTTACTTGTTAACTTGTAAAGAACATGTGTTTTCTTCTTAATTGTTATATTTGTACTTAGGCCTCCAATATGCTAGTTAATTGAAGTTGGTATTCCTTGTCTTCCAATTGTCGTTGTTACTCACGTGCTTTCCGCTTAGTCCATTGCCATGATCCACATGTGTTTCCTTGTCCACTGTTGTTACTGGCGTATTTCGTTCTTAGTAATTCCTATTATTGTGTTCCTGTGATATGGTTGGTACTGTTATATGATTACTTGGAAAGGATGAGTTGAACGCACAAAGGGTGTTACCGTGCTAATTGAATTGTTTCATAAATTTATTTATATATGGTGAGGATGAGATAAAAGCACGAAGAGTATTACCGTGCCATGTGATTTGGAGATTTTGACATTTTAGACATGTATCTCATACCAGGGAAGATCGTAAATATTCTATTGTGGTTCTTTATAATATTCATTGTCTGACTCACCGAGTTGTACTTGATACTTTTATCTGTTGTACTTCGAACTGCTTTACTATTAATCTAATGTACAGGTTATTTAAATAAGCATCTTTTTAACTAAAAGACTCGTCACTACTTCGACGAGGTTAGACAAATACTTACCAGTACATGTGGTCGATTGTGCTGATACCGAACTTCTGCACGTCCCGTGCAGATTTTGAAGCGGAGTTGCTGGTGACGTCGAGTGCTGATTCAGAAGATGTTCGTGCGTTTGGATATAGCTGCCATTTGTCCTTGGTAGTTTAGATTATTGCTAATCTGTTTATGTAATCTTCAAACAGAACATGTATTTATTTGTATCAGTTTCGAAGTTCCAAATCTTAGAAGCTCGTGATTCGTACTACCTGGTCTTGGTAAATTTGTAAATGTTCAGTTATCTATTCTCTATCCTCTTATAATCTCAGTTGGGTGGTATATTCTATTAGTTGGCTTACCTAGCGGGTTAAGTTAGGTGCCATCACGACTTGTGATTTTTTGGATCGTGACGGTAATAGTCTTGATTAATTTTTCTATTTCGCTTCTCGTAGGTATCGTTTCTAAGTTAAACTTATTATTTAAGAATTGTACTTTTCTGTCTATCTCTAGTTCTTGCGATTTTAAGAAATCAAAATTTTGTTCTAATTTTTCTAAAGTCTTTCTTTGTTTAGTTTGTAACAATTCTATTATTTCTAGTGTTCTAAATATATTTTTAATATTTTCTTGAGACTTTTCGCTAAGATTAATTATTAAATCTACCAACGTATTATATCGTTTGTCTTATATATGTAATATATGTTCTCCACTACTGAAATTGCACTTTATTACTGAATTATCTTTTAATATTCCATACCTCTTTTTTGGATATATATATATATATATATATATATATATATATATATATATATTGTATGTATAGTTCGAGTTTACTGTTTCTCTTATCTTAGTTTGAAAATTTGAGTTGGGTTGAATTGTTATGGAAAAATCTGATTTGAGGAGTTTCAGTGGTCGAAATTTTTGTGTTTTATCTCTGGGCTCTTGTGAAAAGTTATTGAAGTATTAGAAAAGAATAGAGCTTCTCGTTTTTGTTATCGTTTTTTTTTTTAACCGTGGTTTCCGGGCATCGCTTTGCGAACCCGACTAGCTGTACCCACCGGGACCCGCTGTTTCAATGCGTGCACCACGGTTAGTTCCACGGGGCCCTGGAGACGCGACCGGCGACCTGAAGGACTTTGTCCTCAAGCCTTTACCAGTTGAGCTACCCCTCAGGGTTGTTTTTGTTATTGTTAGATTCTGCACTTATCTTAATATATGTTCTCAGAATTCAGTGATCAAGAGGTAACCGCATTACACGAATTTGAATCCCAAAAGTTTCATGAATATTAATGTCCAGTTGGTCTTCCCTACTATAACATCTTTCTAGCAATCACTGATAGCCTTAGCTTGATACAGTTAGGGTCCATTTCTTTTCTGTCAAGAATATATTGTCACGCAAAGTGGGAAATGATTTTATTTCAATCACGAAAATGATGTATATAACAAAATAATAATGCATTATACATTTTACACCCCAATTTATTTTATCAACCATGTAGTAAAGAATAACGAAACAGCAAATCAAAATTTGCAGAAAAACTACACTTATCAACTAAGTATGTTCTTACAGGTTTTCCTTCAGATCTAACAGTCGGTCAACATTTGTTTAAGGTCCTTTCCAGGTTTTTCCTTCAAAAAACTCGGCCAGCATTCGTTCAAGGTCCTCTGGTGTGTATCTGATATACTTTTGGGGATTTTTGCCACCCTCAATCATCGGCCTAGTTGCATAACATTCAAGAAACTAGTATCAGAAAACATAATCATTTTCGATTTAGGAGTTCCACTATTCTTGTTCAGAGGGAAGTTAAGCTAGTCCAAGAAAGCATACCCGAAACGCTTGATGAAAGACCTGTAGGCAGGCAATAGGACTTCCGCGACTGCTAGCCTTAAAGACTCGCGCAACTCACTGTCAGGAACTGTCCATTGAGATTGCCTTTGATGAATCTCCTCAAATAACATGTTGAAGGTCTTAAACCTATCTTTCACCGTAGACCTAGAGATACCACTGTTGCTACTGGTGACTTCACCTGTAAATGAACCACTCCCAGCTGTAGAAACTCCTTGCACCGAGAGAGTTTGCAGAATCTGCAGCAAGGACCAGCAGGATCGTATAATGTTACTTTGTAACACAGAAAGATAAATATTCAGGACGACGTAAAATGTTGTGATACTCCACATATATCCAACATGTATGACAAGGTTAACTAGAAGGTAACAAAACATTGAAAAAATAGCTAGGGAGCAAGATTTCAGTAGAAGCTTCACGTTGTAAAACACACTATGGATAAAATAAAGTACCAAAATAAGAATAATTGCTTCACATAGGAATATTAGAAAGGTCACGAGAGAAAGTTTCCACATAGTCATCTGTATTCTGTATTCAATTGATCCACGATTTGGAAAATGAGTGGGTTCAGAACTAGACTAACTGATAAAAGCAAGTTATCCCAAACGTTTATCATCCTTAATCACTATGGTCCTAACACACCATTTTCCTGAAGAAAAATATCAAAACAGAACTAGAAGTGAACTAATTCTTGATATAATCTTTACATACTCAACTTTTGAGTTTACCAAGTAGTATGCCATTTTTACCATAACTCGCAATACTAATTTATTGAAAACCTCCCTCCCGTAGCTTTAGGCACTCTTGTTACAGCTCAGAAGAATGATTAAATGTCTAATTGGAGATCAATTCTCAGAAAAATCAGAAGAATTCCATCTTTATCAAAGAGTATAAGCTGCATTTTAGAAGCCACAATCATGTTAATATGATGTCTATTTTAGCCTACTAATACCATTACAGGATACTATTTCACAGAAAAGGAGAACTGTGATCTCACAAGCCAAACACTCAGGAGAAAATCTTCCGAAACACCAAAAGAAAGAATTTTGATAATCGTACTTGTAAAACCACAGAGGTAAAAAGCAAACCTTAGACCAAGAGATCCTCTTGTACTGATTTGCATGCTGCTGGACTACCCTTCTATGTATTTGCACCCAATCATCACCAAGCACATCCTTTGCTTCTGACCTGGACATCACAGAACGGTTTTTCTAGATTTTTCTAATAAACTAAACAGCTTATTCTCACAATTAATGCTGTAACATACCTGCGAACAGATCTTACAATATAGTGAATATTATTCATCAGAAATAGTTGAGTCAAAGCAGGATCTTTGTATTGCTTAGATTTCCCGTCCAGGTTACTCTGAAGAGCTTGCAGTATCCGTGTGGTTATCACTCCCAACTGGTCCTTGGAATTACCATCATCGGCATCTCCAAAAAGTTGCTTTAAAGTTGACTGATAGCTGTTCACAGGTCAATACATAATACTGAGATACTGCAACACTGTAAACACAACCTTTAAACTGGAAAAGAAAAGTGAATGTAAAATTCCATTTGATCAGATAAACTCAATCTTTTCTAAGAAAGAAGGGAAGCGATGTAACACAAAGAGGAAGGGAAACAAATATGGAATACTCTATTTCTTAAAACCATTTCAAGTATTAAAGAATGAGATATACAAATCACTTTGAAAATCGATATGATGAATGATCACTGCAACATCTATCAGAATGCAACATATAAAACACTCCTTCTCCCCAACAAAAAATGATTGAACGGAGAGGATATGAAAGGATTGTGAAGACTTACTCAAATAAAAATTTGACATAATTGATCACATAGCTAGTTAAAGGATGGACAGTTCCATCAAGAACAGACGTTTTTGTGGCATCCTTCTCTACTGCTTCTTCAAAATCTACAAAGGTCTCCTGTGCTGTCTCAGCCAAACGATCAGTCAGCACTTTAGCAGCTTCTCGCATTTCACTGCAATATTTGCTTCCAAAAATAATGTCCATCTGCCACACCAAAAAATATCCCCCTTCCACGGGGAAGAAGAACGAAAGGAAATGCCAATATTAGTATTTAATGTTAAGTTTCTGATGTAGAAGTCTGCATTAGACCTGTTAGTTCCTAGATCTAGTAAATACATGTTAGACATAACTAATAATTTCTTCAATTTTCCGACTGGTCTAATCATAGTAAGTGTACTGCTAAGTTAGCAGCAGAAACAATCGGAAATGTAAGTTAAAAACTAGGACATTCCAAAAGCAAAAAAAGAAAGGAGACAGCGATATCTGAGAGGTCATTTCATCATACCTCTGACTGAAGTTCTCTCATTATCTCATACATATCTAAAAGGACAAATAACTTTTCAGGCGATCGTTTGCTTTTGGCAATGGCTTCTCCAAAGCTAAGCAGCACTGCTACGCTATTTGCAGTAACCTCCGCGAAACATTGATCTTTAAGACTATCTTGACCTTCAAATATTTGATCAGAGACTTTCTTCTCCGCAGCAAATAAAAGTTTTACCTGTGTCAAAAATGATGAATAGGTTAATAAAAGAGGAAACGATAGCAAAGATCAGATAAAAATTGGATGATGAGATATCGCTTACGGATATCCGCATGAAGTGAATCCAATTTCCTATCTTTGCCTCTAAAACTTCCCACTGCATTTTCTGTACATCCTCTTTACCAAGTCTTTCCACACCTAGTTTTCTCAGACTCTGCTCCACAACTGAAGAACGTGTTTCCCTGGATACAAACATGATGCATGGGAAATACAATTGACATGAGACAGAATGGCATATCCAGGACGAAAAGCTATTTTGTCAGATAAAAGATTATCTCAGAGAAATTAATGAAGAAAAAGCTCGGAAATTATCAGTTCATAAATTCTATCACAAATAAAAGCCATATAAAATATTGACAGTTACAATGCACAACTTTCAAGTAATATAAGGAAAATACTAGGTCAAATAGACAGACTAGATAACAGATAGAGCAAACTAAACAGCATTACATCATAAGATATATTAGAAAGCAGATATCGCTGATCGGTCCACCAACAAGAAAGCTTGGAAATGTACAAATTAGAATACTGATCCCTTTAATAATCCTATAAATCCACATCAATTGTATGACCATCATACCGACAATTTCAACTGTATCTGGAAGCAGGCAGGTCTCACGGAACAAAGTTGGCATAATAGTTGCTTTTCAATTCCATAAGCTATTAAACAGATCTCGGTAATTACAGTCACCTTCAAACATTGAAATACTTCCTGTATATTTAAAGGAGATATCTTACTTATATATGGTATACAGTTGCTGTTGATGGCCAGCTTGAATCATTTGCTGAGCTAACTCATGTAGCAAGGGCAGTATTCTAGGGGGAATGAGCGCTGGAGGGTGGTAAACCACAGTTTCTAAACTTCTTTGGTGCTCTTTCATTCCAGTACCATCACCCTTACTAGGTGATCCTGTAGATGGTCTCAGAGATTGGGGAAGGCAATCAAAAAGACGATCAGGTTCCACAGGTTTACTGCAATGATACAAGTCAATCTCAAGTTAGTTAACATTAATACTTATCACAAGTAGTTAACTTGAGTTAGTAAACTTAAAAGGCAATTAAAAGAGTTAGGAAATTCACTCAAAACCACAAAGTAAACCATATGAAAAGATTCATAAACAAGAAAATTGTATGCAATGGGAAAAAGGAATTATACATTAAAATACAGACCTGTATGAGGTTAGAAGCTGACGAAACTCTTCTTCTAGCTTAAGAACAGACTTTGCCAGTAAATTGGAAGCATGGTTAATCATGCCAATACTACTTTTAAGGCCTTTGGTACTGCTGAAAAATTTGACAATACTCCTTAGCTGATTAACTGCTTCCAGATAACTCTCCAAATCCTCATGTGGTCCTCGCAATATTTTAGCCTCTGTCTGTAAAGTAAAAAAGGGTCATTTAAGCTTCAGTATCCATGTCAAGGATTATGCAGATACACAAATAAACAAAAAATTACTACAAAAGATATCGACGAGGCTCACTTTTCACTGATTACTTGAAACAGAAGAAACAATCCTCATATTACCAAGGGAATCAACCAATACACCCAACCTATTTCATATGTAATCCCAATAAACTGAGAACCATTTCGATCAGAATACAACGTTAAATAGCTGTCTATATAATTGTTTGCTTACTCATTTGCTTGAATTTATATATATTGACCCGCATCAACCAATAAACACGGTGTATTTCATATGCAATCACGATAAAATCCTTTTGAGCACAGGGATGGAAGGCCGAGATCAAGCAATCAACCAATAGGGTAATTCCAAAAATTCAGTCTTTATAGTACAAAAAAGACTTGCATTTTCTTGCTTACTCTTTCACTTGAATTGCGACTTTGCTGTCACATTTTTAAATTCAAGTGTATGTGTATATATATATATATATATACTGTGCATATTCATAGTGCAAGAAGCAAAACGCAAAGCAATTTACACGACGAAATTTCCAGCTCTAGCTTACAAAAGCAAAGTGTGACAGAAAAAGTAAATAAGATTAATCCAAAAATACGAACCTGGCGCGCAAGATCAAATTGAGCCAATATGGACTCAGCTACCTTCAATGTCTTGTCAATGTTCTCGTGTGCTTTCCGAATCGAATGCGTCCTTATCTTTTTCCCAACAAAAATTTAGAAAACAAAAACAAAAAAATTGACCATTCAATAAATATATAAACAATCACACATGTATATACTGTATATGTAACATATCAAACATCACATGCAGATGAAGCACATACATTCATTATGTAATGCAAAAATCATTAATCTACACACACACACACACATATTTACCTGAGTGGGACGCATGGCGGTTTCGAGGGCGGAGAGGCGGTGATCAAAGGAGCCGAGAATGGAGATCATATTATCGGTAATGGTTTGGCTCTTGTGCATTGATTCTTTCATGAATTCTGCTCTTTCCTTTAGGTTTTCCATTACCACTGTGTAAGCCGCCATTCTTATCTGATCTGCCTTTAGCTTAATTCGGCGACGAACAATAATTACATCTCTGTACGAGGAAGAATCACGCAGAAACGCGAAAGGAAACTGCGTGGTTTTTTATGATAATTTTATTACTATCCCTAAGTTTTTACAAATTGAAAATGAAACACTCCTGAGGTTTACAAAATTACAAAAAACTTCTCTTAAACTTTTTCATTGAGCGTTTCAAAAAATTTAAAAATGCAAAAGAATATAAGGTCCACCAACTTTTAATTTCCGTATTTTTAAGAAATAAGTTTAAAATTAGACTAAATATACATGAAAGATTATAAATAAACATAATCAAAAATGGAATAATTATCTGTATCTTGTTATAAATAGAATTGTATTTAAGGTGAAGGTTTATCTTTTAGAGAGTTTTTAGAGTTTGTTACTTTTTGGCTAAGTTATTTTTCTCTTATAAATTGAGGGGTTTTATCTCATTGTAATTCATCTTAAAAAACCAATAGAATTTTCTCTCTTTCTTTACAATATTCTTCATTTTTTATTATTTTATTTCACGTTATCAGCACGAGACTCTACCGTCTCAAGAAGCACTTTGAGAAGACTAAGGTATAATTTTGGGAAAATTTCACATAAGAACAACTGAGCTTCCTACTTTTCAATTTTATAGCACATATTTCATAGGCTAAGATTCAACATCCAACTCCAATAGGTTTTCAAAATTACTATTTAATTTTTAAAAAAGATTGCTCAAGCTTTTAAGTTAATTTTCGAATCAGTAACTGTGACTCAAATATTAGTTCAACAAACCAAATCCATTTGGGTGGTGAAAATTAGATTTTTACAAGCTTAAATATGTGGGTTTAAATTTTGAATTTGATTTTGTGAGAAATTTGGAGTGGGTATTATTTAGACTTGTTAGAAATTGTATAAGGAGGCTGTATATAAAATTTGAAGTCATTTAATGGAGATTTGGACTGGTTTTGAACAAGAATTACAACTGAAAATCGTGGAAGAAGTTCGTCTACAGACGCTTGTATAAAGGTGTATAAAAGTGTATAATAGTATATAAGTTGTGTTTATACACTCATATACACTATTATACAAGATTATACATAATTATACAAAAAACTGACGTCGTCTTCTTCCTTGCGTCTTTTCTGAAATTTAACTCAAATATTGCTTAAATCTACTCCAAATCACTTCAAATTTAAACTTTGAACACCTTTTGATATTTTCAATGAATTGGAACAACACCCAATCCAAATAACTAACAAACTAAAAAAATTCTATTTTTGAAAGCAAAGCTTTGAATGACCTTCAATAGTGGACTTTTACGTACTCTTCGATTTTTTTACATTGCAACCAGATGATATAGAGAAAGAAGCAGTAATGGCGAACGTCAACTTGAATCATATGTAGAAGATGTGAGAAGAAGAGAGAGTGAAAGCAATGGTTGTGAGAACAAAGATTTAACTCCATAGCTTTTAGAAGCAATGGTTGTAAGAACACAAATTTTAAATTTGCAAGAGTTAGTGTTTTCAAAATATGTACAATATGGGCTAGGTAGGGTAAAACTTAAAAACATGGGCCATTTTTTGTTATGGTGTGAAGTCATGTGTATTTTCTTGTAATTCTTTCTATAATTTTTCTACTCTTTTAGCTATGACAGATATTATAAAACGAAAGTTCGTTGCTCTTGAAACTTCGAGAAAGAACTATATGTCGTGAGTGTTGGATGCTGAAATCCATTTAGATGCAATGGGTCTTGAAGACGCCATTAAAGATAAAAAAAAAATAAAGAATCTACCCAAGATTGTGCTAAGGCCTTGATTTTTGATTTTCTTGCGCCATCACCTTGATAAAGGGTTAGAAATAGAATATCTCACAGTCAAAGATCAACTTGTTTTGTGGAATGGCTTAAAGGAAAGATATGACAACTTAAAATTGGTTGCACTTCCACAAGCAGGATATGATTGGGCTCATCTGAGACTCCAAGACTTTAAGCCTATTTCTGAATACAATTTGGCGATGTTCAGAATTACTTCTAAATTGAAGCTTTGTGAAGATAATATCACTAACTACGATACGCTTGAAAAAATGTTCACAACATTTTATGCCTCCAATACGGTCCTGCAACAGCAGCACCGAGAGAAAGGTTTCAAGAAGTACTCTGAGTTGATTTCTCTTCTCCTTGTGGCTGAACGAAATAATGAGTTGCTCATGAGAAATCACGATAATCGACCCTCTGGGTCTACACTATTGCCCGAAGTGAATGAGGTGTATCTCCATTATGCTAAGTGTGCAAAAGGTCGCCGCCCTGTTCGTAGCCGTGGCCGTGACCCGCAAAGAAATTTTTCTGGTGTTAATCATCTCTCAAAGAAAAATAACCACAAAAAGTGGAAAGGGAATGATGAAAAGTCAAAAGCAAAGGGTTCAGACTAGTTGCTATCGTTGCAGTGGAAAAGAACATTGGACAAATATTTATCGCACACCAAGACATTTGGTTGAGCTTTATCAAGCATCTCTAAAGAATAAAGGCCCTGAAGCAAATTTTGTCGCTGACAATGAATTTGACATCACCCACTTAGATGTGGCAGACTTCTTTGAGCACCCTGATGGAAAAATAGACCACTTGATCGGTGAAGGATCCGTGGTTAAAGATGATTGAGAAATTAATTTTTATTTTTGCCTATTCGTAATAGCTAGTGAATAAACATCATGTAATTATAGTTCTTTACATGAGTAGTCATTAGTATCAGTTACTATTATTTGTTTTATGAATCTCGCCACAAAATGCACATACATTCATCCGATTTTATAAATAATTGCTTTTCGATAAAACCTCGCCACTGAAAGGGCGAGCATTTTACTCTAGTACGGACTCCAGACCCTAGCTTATCGAAATGTTGAACTGAATGTCATTCGTATAGATATTCGAATGTAGCTCAGATCTAGAGAGATGGAATTTGAGCAAGTTCCGAAAAGGATTTTGATGTTACGAATTGAGGGAGAATTGTTAACTAGAAAGAAATTAAATAAAAATTTTGGAAAGAGTGACAGCAGTGAAGTGTGACATACCCAAGGGAAGTACACGTCCTCTTTTGAAAATCATTAAATTTGTAATTTTCAGTCACTATCAATTAACGAGAACTTTGAAAATTAAACTGGGAATAGTACAAAAATACATCCAGTAATTACTTTTTAAAATGTATTATTGTTTACGAGCCATCCAGATTGAATGAAGGCGTTGCTTAGCAAGATTTTAGTAGTATATGATCAAATATAAGAGTCTAAACTGGTAACAAAGTAAATAACTTATACATTTGTTGTATTTGTATTAGTCATATGTGTAGTCTACTCATAATGGTATTATTTTTAGCTACGTAATTATTTGTATCATAATCAGAGTTTGCTCGAAATTGCATTATAAGGTCATTGTTGAATTATTGATTTAACTTTGTTTCTTTTCCTTTTTCTCTGAAAATAATAATGTTTATTTGTAGATTTCTCTTGTATATCAAACCATGGGAAGCAAATATAGATATCACACAAAGCAAACGTAGATCAAAGTTCAACTGTAAAAATATTTATTGAATTGATTCGTGTACAACACATACAATATTCAAAGAGAAGAAATATTTCTCTCATTTAAATAAGTGTAAGACAGATGTTACTACAATCTCTGGTAGTAGTAATTTAATTGAAGGTTGTGGAAGAGCTACTATAACTCTGTTTAGGGGAACAATGATAATACATTGTTCTCCTCCGAGTCCAAGAGGAACTTATTGAGTTTTAAAGATATTCGCCAAAATGGATATCATATTGAGACAATAGAAGAGAATAATCTTGAATATCTTATCGTTACAAGAATGTCTCTGGCCACAGAAGGGTTATTGAGAAGTTCCCACTTTTGTCTTGTGGCATGTATCGGACAAGAATGAGTGAATTGAGGCACATCCTATCGTAAACCAAAATGTTAATGATTTCAATACTTTTGTACTTTGGCATGATCGATTGGGACATGCTGGATCAATTATGATGAGACGAATTATAGAAAATTCAAATAGGTTGTAGTTGTAATTGTATTAGTCATACGTGTAGTGTACTCATAATTGCATTATATTTAGCTACGTAATTACTTGTATCATAATCAAAGTTTGCTCGAAATTGTATTAAAAGGTCATTGTTGAATCATTGATTTAACATTGTTTTTTTTTCTTTTTTCTTTGAAAATAATAATGTTTATTCGTAAATTTATTTTGTATGTCAAACCATGGGAAGCAAATACGGATATCTCACAAAGCAAACTTGGATCAAAATTCAATTGTAAAAATATTTGTTTGATTGATTCATGTACGGCACATACAATATTCAAATAGAAGAAATATTTCTCTCATTTAAATATGTGTAAGGTAGATGTTACTACAATCTCTGGTAGTAGTAACTTAATTGAAAGTTGTGGAAAAGATACTACAACTCTGTCTAAGGGAACAATATTTATCATAGATAATACAATATCTCCTCCAAGTCCAAGAGGAACTTGTTGAGTTTTAAATATATCCCGCCGAAATGGATATCATATTGAGATAATAGATAAGAATAACCTTGAATATCTCATCATTACCAAGAATGTCTCTGGCCAGAAAAGGATTATTGAGAAGTTCCCATCTTTGTCTTGTGGCCTGTATTGGACAAGAATTAGTGCAATTGAGGCACATTCTATCGTAAACCAAAAGGTTACTGATTCCAATACTTTTGTACTTTGGCATGATCGACTGGGACATCTTGGATCAATTATGATGATACGAATTATAGAAAACTCAAATGGGCATCCATTAAAGAATATAAAAATTCTGTTAAATAATAAATTTTCTTGCACTTCTTATTATCAAGGCAAGTTAATTATTAAACCATCACCAACAAAAGTTGGGACTTGAGTCCCCTGCGTTGTTGGAATGTATACAAAGGGATATTTGTGGGCCTATTCACCTATCGTTTAGATATTTTATGGTCTTAGTAGATTCATCTTTTATATGGTCTCATGTGTGCCTATTGTCATCTCACAACCTGGCGTTTGCAAAATTAATGGCACAAATAGTTCGATTGT